CCTCTGCCCATCCTCTGCCCAGCCACAGACAAGCACTGCTGAGCACTCTGAGGAAGACTAAGGAGGCGGTTCCAGAGAAGAGCTAAGTGTGTGCATGGCATGAGGGATGACATGGCCACTCACCAATGGTGATGTTGGCATTGGCTTTCAGCAGCAGTTTGAGGCTCTCGGGTTTGTTGTGCAGGCAGCAGTAGTGAAGCGACGTGTTCCCCTCTGCCATCTGCTTTGCCAGGCTCCCGCTGCAGAAAAAGGAAGATAACGTCAGCACCCCCAGGAAGAGCTGTCAGCCACAGCAAACGCTGCCTGGTGCTGGCACAGGTCCTTCTCCCCACCTCACCCAAAGAAGAAGCGGTCACCACCACTGTCACACCCCAATCCAGAGCAGACCGGGGGAGCCCCTCTTATCTCGAGGTGGTTACCCCAAGCCCTGCCCAAGGTATGTATTGCCTTAGTGATTCCTCTCTTTTTTGGGGGCATTTTGAAGATCGTCAGCCTTGCACCTTTTACTAGCATAGCGAGCTGACTGAGTGTCACGAGCTTACCTGTTCCAGACAAGAAAGTCGACAATATGCAAAGAGGTTCGATCAGACAACAGCACTGCCAGGTGGAGAAGAGTCTCCCCAGGTTCCTGTAACCAAGAAAAACATAGCAATGATGAGACTGTGTCTGCCTGCACCACCACCGCAGAAAGGAGCCCCGTCCTTTAGGGTCTGCACACTGCACAAGGTTTTCTGCTCTCTCCTCCCTCCCCAGCCCTGACCTGTCCTTTGTCTTTCGGACCCCTCTGCCCTCACAGAAAGATGAACAGGATTGGCTCTTCAAAGCCCACCAAGGCTGGCGAGAACCTAGCTGACATGTGCAGAGCCATGGTTCATGGGTTCATGAAGAAGAATCAATCATCCTCTTTTCCCATTTAGAAAATGAGACAACCCAAGGTGACTTTCTCCCCAGGCCAGCAGCCGAACTTTGCCGAGTCCACGTCTTGGGTGTGCAAAGGCTGCTCCTCACAGAGCTGCTTCTCACTTGCCATTCTGTCCCAAGACATCCCATACTAAGGGATGCTTCTTGCTCACTGCAGCATTTTGGTCCTTTGCTTTTAGTCTGGAGGACACCCGCCGGCGTCCTTGCAGGCAGAGCAACTGGCCCAGCAGCATGCCTGCAGCCCCGAGGGTCAGGGCTGCGCTCTCTTCTTGTACTCCCAGCAAGGGCCCACGCTGTGGTTTTGCAGGAAAAAATGCTGCCCTGATTTTTCAGCCTAGAGGGAGACTTGGATGTCCTGCAGGAATCCACTCAGAGTTTACAAGTAACTCGTGGTTACAAACTGCTCTTTGGGAAGCCTTGGGCTTGCACTTATGGCTTTTGCATCCCCCCCCACCCCGGGCGATGATGAAAAAAAACGTAGCCAGAAAACCTCTGTGTGCCATCATATTCCTCACCCTGCTTGAGCCTGTCTGTTGCTCCTGGCTCTCAGAAAGCACTGTTTTAATCTCTCCTCCTGGGCACAAGGACCCTTACAGACAGGCCGGAGAGGCGACGGCAAAGCTGTTCGCCGTACAGTCCTATGGGATGGGTGGACATACCTGCAGAGGGGCCAGCACAGGCTCGCTCAAATCCATGTTCTCTGCATATGCTTGGAGCAAAGTAAATATGTCCTTGTCTTTCACGGCTTCTTGGAGGCCAGAGCACCGAGCAGCAGGGCTCCTCTTGACATATTTCTTCTCAACATACTTGGAAATGATGAAATTTTTCCGATAGGCCCTGGTAGATGCCAGCCAAATGAGAGTCAGGGGCCACAGAGCGACTGAGGGAGCATCCCAGTGTGCCCCCCCTCCTCTCCCAATGCTCCAGCCACCTTCCCTCTCTCTTGTTAAGACCTGCCAGGCAGTTGAGCATCCTTCCTCTCTATGCTGAATTCCCCACACTCCTCTGTAGCAGCATTCATAATAACTCTTACAAAACATTGTGGTTTTCTTAAAGCTTCCTCCCTTGCAGTTACATAATTAAATGACAACTTGACTTTCATGCATGCAAAGTGCGAGCACTGCCAGGGCCTGGGGGGAAGGACCCCTGCACCCCCCGTAGGAAGCCAGAACCAACTCCCCATCTTTCTTCCCCCTGTAGGAAGCCAGAACCAACTCCCCGTCTTTCCTCCCAGTGGGGATCCCACCACCTCCATCCAACACTCCAAAGTCTTGGGGACCTTGGGGTGTTGGATGGGGAAGGGACTCTGGAAGGGACGGGTAAGGGTCGGTGCTTCTCCTCCTCTTCCAGACACCCATTGCTTTCCAGAAGCCCCTCCATCATCTGTGCTCCACGATGAGGAGCCCTGACCCCTCCACCCTTCCTGGGTGGGAAACACTCAGGGGTGCACTGAGGGTTTATAAACAGTCCTGACGATCTTTTCTGCTCTCTCCTCTCTCCCCTTCCACCCCAGCCCTCACCTGTCCTTTGCCTTTTGGACCCCTCTGCTCTCACAGTTGAGTACTGGGCTCAGCTCCCTGAGGGTGGAAATTAGGGCAATGAGCAGAAATCTCGAGGACTGAGAAACACCATGTGGTATAAACTGTCTGATAGTATCTATGGGTCAGGAATAGCTGCCACATAAGGAATGTCTGAGCAAACTGGGGCTCTCCCTCTGGGCAGGTCAGCAACAGCAGAAGCAGTGGCCGGCCAGAGGATCTGTGATGTCCGAAGGCAAAACAGAAAAGGCCATTCAGGAAGATCTGAATTACTAATTTCATGCCGTTTCAGTTTCCTCATCATCACAGAATCACAGAATCATAGAACAGTTTTTCTTGGAAGAGACCTTCAAGATCGAGTCCAACCCCTGTCCTAGCCCTAACACCACCACTAAGCTGTGTGCTTCAGCACAGCATCCACCCATCTCTTCAACACCTCCAAGGATGGCGACTCAACCCTGATCACCTCCCTGCTCCTGCTGACCACACCATTCCTGACCCAGGCCAGGATGCCCTTGGCCTTCTTGTCCCCCTGGTCCCACTGCTGGCTCCTGTTCAGCCGGCC